TTCCCACACTGACAAAGGTAATCTCTGTGTGTATGTAGACATGTTTTCTAGTGCTGGAAAGGATGCAGAGAAAAGATACTGCTGGTACTAGAGTTAAATCAAACAATGTTTCTGAAGGGCAACATGACTTTTATATCTCAAAAGCCTTAAAATTGTCCATGCCATTAAGCAAGCAATATTTCTTTTAAAATGTGCCCTCAGAAACTAATCATTTGTAGACAAAAATATATGTATATAAACATCATTGCAGACTTATTTATAATTCTGGTAAATTGAAAACAAACTGAATCCCCCATAACAAGAGAGTGGCAAAATAAAGTATAGTCATGAAACCTTAAGCAGCTGTCAAAAACATGTTTTCCTGTGCCATGGGGAAATCTTTATGGGATATTCTTAAATAGAAACACCAAGATATAAATTTACATAGACTATAACCCCAATTTTTGTTAAACTTGTGTATGTGCCCATGTGCATGCAGACATGCGCGCGCGCACACACACACACACATGCACACAAAAAGTATTGGAAGGTACTAAACCAAGGTCTTAACAATTATCTCAAAACAGTGAGTTTATTTTAAAAAAAAATCTCATTTAATATTTTTTGGTTATTTTTAAAACAAATTGACTTGCAGCTACCAATAACAAGGAAAATCATGATTAGGGGTCTGGTCTCTCATAAAAACAGTTAAAATATACAGGAAATTATTCAACTGTCCTTAATGTGTATGATGTCATGATATTGAAACTCATTGTGGTATTCCAATATATCAAATGACTTTCCTTTCCAAACGAATATGGGTGATGACCATGGAGAGAACAATCTCTTATCTCATTATTTCAAGAGATCACTTGATCTTGTGTCTTGGGTAACATCCAAACATCACTAAAGATAGTGATATTTCTCTTCTTGAATACCTTTAGTGATAAAACATACACATTAACAAGCCTTTAAAGGTAAAACAACCAGAACCATTGCACAACCAATTTTTTTTTCTTTTTATATTGTTTAAAGTATTACAAATAATATAGTACAGTTAATTTTCTACTATGTGGGACGGGGGCAGAAGAGGGTATAGGAAAAGACAACTCAGCATCTCCATATTTGATCAATTATCACAGGAAAGAAAATGCAATTCAAATAAAACTGATCAAAAGAGAAAAAGTATTCTATTTTATGGTCTGTCAGTGAGGTTAAGATTCATAGACAGGAAACTGGACCTGACACATCCTAATTACCTTGATGTCAAAGCCAACCTTGAAATTTCAGATATATGGAGTTCTGTCTTAACTAGCTTTCTGTTAGAAAAATGACACTCACTATTTTCATTACTCTTGGTATTTTTCAAGTTCTCTGACAACATTAACTCCTCCCCCAGGAGTTTAGAAATATTTTTTGCTAGCAACCTAAATTCCATTATTCTAAACATATAGTTAATTTATCATTTAGTTTAGTATTAGACAATTTAGAAGAGAAATATATACTAACAATGCCAATATCTAGTACATGAAACCTGATATGAATTGGCTAATGCATTTTGAATTGACTGGCTCATTGATTAGCATCCACTTTATGAGCATAGACACTGTTATGTTTATGGAGGTTATATTTAAGTGGGATGAGAGTTTCTGTTTCCATTTAACAAATTTCTGCAAGAACCTGTAGCTTTGCAGATATGTCAATTTCACACTTTCCTTCTTTAATTAGAAGCTATATAAAATGCGTACATACCTTGGTATTTATAGAAATGAAACAAGATAAACCTATACTCTAAACATGTGCAGATTCTCTCTTCCCTGATCCCTACTAAGGGCCTTTCATCCAGTGTCTACTCCCAGTACTCAATTTGCTCAGAACAGCAATATAAGCCTGTGGACTGGAGTTCCAAATCCCAAGCTTTTATAGATTCCCATGTTTAGGAGGATGTCTGTCAATTTA